TTAGGAGAAGCGTGATATTTCCCTTTTTAGTGAACTGTTGAGCTCACTCTTCTAAAGGTTCGCATCGCAATTGCCACGGGTGTTGTAGAGTTCATGGGCGGCGTCACTTAACGTTAACTAATATTAACGTTAGGCGAATCATCCACTACTGCTACTGCTAAGCAGTAAATATATGACATATTTCTAATGCTTGAAATAAAAGCTCTAGAAAATGTCTTAATCATAATATTGATTACATGTCCACACGGCGAATAGGTAGACACTGTGGCGGCAGCACGGTCCTATTTGCTATTTACATAACCGATGCGGAACCCTAAGAATAGCCAACCGATTATGGCAACGTGGGGACTTCGTGAATCACAGACTGGTGCCTGACTCACGAGATTTATTCGCGTGATCTCATATGGTGCGGCGTCGCCATATTTGCTTCGGCCTCTCGATTCGGCCGTCGGCGGCGATTTGCCGCCGCTTTTTTGTTTTCGCGCCTTTTACTTTAAAACAATACGAGTATGGTCTATGGTTGATATTTGACCCTGGACTTGAATAAATTGCTTTCGTCACCAAACGGTTGAAATGTTTTTGTTGGAACCCTGGTTTATTCTGTTTGCTACTTTGGATGGCAACTTACATTTACATTATATAAGTTTCATTAAAGGCGTTTCGTAATTAACATAATAAAGTATATATTTGATTCACGTATTCTTTTAAAACAATCTTTTAGTGCCAAAATAATTTGAGATTTCTTCTTTCTGTATACAAAGAAAATAAACCATAAATGACTTATTAAGTATAGTTGACACTTATGGATTGATATAAAGTTACTATAATATAATGATGTAAGTTTGTGTGTAATTGTGTTTGTTGTGGTTTTTCGTCTTATTTGCTGAACTGTTTCAAACAAAATTTCTAATCGATATTTTAGCTCATGCATTTTAACGCATAGGAAATTTTATGCCCCGTACAGAGTAATTACTGTTATATTTAGAATAAAGTCGAAATGCCAGGATTCGAACCTGGTTTTCCTGGAGTACGGGCTCGGACGTTCCAGACACCTAAGTAGCCACGATAATCGACATTCTCACCGCGCGAAAATTTACCTATTTTAATCTTAATTATTTTTAATGCATTTTTAGCATAGCATCGCTATATAATCTAAACTAACATTTCAATGCTAGCTATAAGGAAAAAATAATTATTAATTCTATTATAACTCTACAATTGAATTCAAACTACTTAGCTCAAGTTACTTTAAAGGTCTTGCGGCAAATTCACTTCCATATTGATACCGCGTCGTATATGGCGTATGGCCTCATATCTTTGAGCATAGTGAGAGTTTATGGTGTGGTCGAAGTGGGCGTTACACTTCTGCCTTAAGAGATCAGTTTGTTTACGTCTATGTATGTAAATTCACACTGCAGATTGGCGGACTCTACATATCTAATGCAGGTTTCATCACGACATTTTCCTTCGCCGTGTTAAGTCAGCGTTTAAAATTAACAGACTAACGCCCGGTCTCTGAAACACTGATCATCGTAGAAGTCAACTAATCAGCTGTCAAATGGCTTTTCAAATGTCATTTGGGTTGCCAAAAGAATGTTTAAACTCTCTGAATTGATCAGAACGACCTTCTTAATGATCAGAATGATCAATTCAAAGTGTTAACCTTCCTTTTGACGACTCAAATAACATTTGAAAAGCCATTTGACAACTGATTAGTTGTTTCTACGCTGATCAGTGTTTCAGAAACCGGGCGTAAGAGTCCGAGGTCGAGTGAAAGCGAGGATCGAGTGGCACCGGGTCAGTGTCGCGTGGATTAGTGTGGTCATCCAATTAGGCACATTGTCCCCCGAGTTCCGGGTTCGATTACAGCTACCACGATTACTTTGCCAGATAATTTTACCAATCTGCGTATTTCAATTTGTTTGTCTGCTAGAACTCGTGCTGCGTCCATTTTTACGAGGGGCGTTCAATGTATTCTCGGCATAGGCATGAAAGGATAAGCAGAAACTTCTGAATATATTTTATCTTTCAATATGGTCCCACATCATCTCAATAAACTTATCTGAGAGGGAAAGCAACTTTTCAATACCCTCAAAAAGTATTTTTTCTGCCTTGTCTGAAAATTGTTCATCAATTGCCACCTTCAACTCTTCGTCGTCCAAAAAATTCTTACCTCGAAGATGTTTCTTGAGGCTGAACAGTAAGTTATCACTAGGGTCTAGGTTCGGGGTGTAAGATCAATACAATGAATGACTGCCACAGCAGCCTTGGCAACGAAGCAAGACCTAAGAAGACCCCAATATCTGCGGTCAATTTTCCACGTTTTATTTCTTTTATTTCCCCCTTTAAACTAGCTAAGGTGTTTGCTTAAGATGCATGAGTAATACTTTGACCTTTTTCTGAGTACTCAATCAGTTAGATTCCCTCGGAATACCAAAATACAATCACTAGTCTTTAAGAATTATTGATAGGTCTGTGCCTTTTTTATGCCACTGCATGGACTCTTGCCTGCTCTCAGCATCTTGCATTTTCGTAATAATATCTTGAATACTAATGGTGACAATAACCTAAAAGAGTATCTTTAACTAATAAGATAATTTGATTATCCTCATCATTAGTATATCACCCTGATACCGAGAATACATTGAACGCCCCTCGTAGAAACTGGAATCGATCAGACTGCGACCCAATAAGTTGTATTTTCGTTTGCATTTGCATTACAATTCTATTGTAAGAAGTTTCCTATAGTAGTATGAAGTATTAGCCCATACAATTCCAAGTTTCATACGAATCCCGATCAACCGACTAATTTTTTTATAACAGTAATGTAAATATACATCAAAATTAGAATTGAAGGGTATGGGCTTATGCTTTGTATATTTTATTTTCTTACAGTTATCTCTCCTTCAAAAGTTGTAACTGATTCTGTATACAAAAACTGATTTCAGGATTCTTCGTACTACATCGATACCATAGTGGCGGTACATTCTGCCGTATTCGATGAAAAGTTATACAGATAATATATGTATATAATGTTCAAATAATTGGCAACAATAAAACATAAAGCGACCGGTGCCTATTATTCATTATCTGTGCAATTAAAAAAAAATCGTGAATGTGTGCCGTTGCGTAATGCATATTCGCCGCTGTGTCTAGATCAATTCTCTTCCTGTTAGTGTTATAATCTGTGCTGTTACTAAATCGATTAATTTGGTCATTTCAATAAAATAAAAAAATAAACAATTGTCTCGGTCTTTATTCCTCTTGTTACTCGAAAAGAGAATTTGCAATCTATATCGTTAAAAGGAAGAAAGGATGTGAAAATATGTCAAATTTTTCTTGTCAATTTTTTTTGTATTTCGAAGTTTTTGATAATCTGTACATACTAGCATAATTATTTTTTTTGGAATATAGCTTATAGCCACGTACTTTTTATTGCCATTAACGGAATCGTACCGAGAAAATGGTGGAGCTCATAACTCTGTGGCCCAATTTTACAGCAGTAAATTAAAAAAAATACTGTTTTTTTTTAATTTATTATCGCTCCTTTATCGAACAGTTTCTAGACGCATTCGTCGTTTGCGTATAAAACATTTTAGTTAGTAATGCCTATAACTTTCATCCGAATAAATTGTAATTGCAAAATTATGAAAAATCATAGGAACGCTATAAAGCATGTGCTAGTGCGTAACGACCGCAACTAGAACACAATTTGTTATTATATCGATGCTGTTAAATTTGGCGCGCTCCACCATTTCGCGTGCGTGCTTGGCGGCCATTTTGTTTTCGAGACGAGCGATTACCGCGGCGCAACAGCAGCCCAGGAGCGAAGAGTTTCTATGCAGCATTCCGGGACATTGAAGTGTGAAATAGGACCTTTGTATTTGTATTTTTATTGTTTTCTTGCCTTCTCGAACGGATTTCGAAAAAAATTAAAGGTTAACGATTTGTAGGGTACTTTATCGAGCTCTGTCTATCTACTTATCCTATTTCAACGCCTTATTTTATTTTATTATTTATTCAAGAAACAGTGTCTCAACGTTGTGTTGATAGTGCTCATTTAGTATGATAGTAAATGGAAAGTACATATAACATAAAAAATAATTAACGGCTACATGTTTCGTCCTCGTTTCACACAATATGTTATTACTGCGGTCAAGACTTCAGTGTATGGTTCTGGTATTTGGAAGGTGCTTTTAGTTCGCTCGCTGTGATGTTATCAATGTACATTTTAAAACGGTACCTAAGTGTAATGGTCATTCGTCAGGCTTCACATTCCGCGGCTGTCGGCCGAGAATATTTATATAGTTTTCGAGACATTGCTGAAGCGATTTAGTTACGCAATCTGGGTAGGGTTGGAGACTTATCGCGCTCGCTTTGCTGTCTTATTAGGTAACAATGCTAGTGCCAACGTTAAAGTAATAGATTCAATTTATACTTTTTTTGGTGTAAAAGTGGAAATCTTCAAAAGTTCTCTCGTCTCATGGGGGATAGGGCAACATGGGGTCCATGACCAATTACACCCTCTCGGTGGCCCCCCTCAATACCTCGGAGAGCTCCTAAGAACACACCGATTTCTCTGCCCTGCACGCTCTTGCAAAGAAACCTTCCACTGTACCCACACTGTTCGCTGGGTCCACTAAAGCGGATGATCAGGGTCGTCCGATGATCGCCCATGAACAGCGCCCCTTTTACTTTTCAGGTCAGTCAGTCAGACCGTCATCGTGACTTCTTTGTATTAGAAGTATCGAATTTCTAATGTAGATTAGTAAAAACAAACCGTTCTCCAACACTTTAAAATTCGCTTAAACGTATAAGTAAAAGAACCGTCTAGTACAGCCTAACCAAATACGGTTAGGCTGTACTCACACTTACTATTTCGTATAAACTTACCAACTACACGGGATTTACACAAACGGACGTTACTAGTATACTAAAAGAATATTTCCCGTATCTTGTAGATTGTAATACGCCTCTAAACTCGACCTCTATTGTTTCAGGACCTGATACCGCCCCAAGATACGGAATCTTACTTGCTCAAGACGCAGAACGCCATCACTAACCTGCAGGCGAAGCTCCAATCGTCCAGGGCGAACAACTTCTCGAACATTCCGTCCCAGCTCACGTCCAGCCTGATCAGCGAGAAGACCGCCGTCTCCCGTCTGCCCCTGTCGCAGCTGAGCCGCTCCAACTCGTTGAACTACCGCCTCAGGCGCAAAGACCACTCGGGCGACGGCAGCCCGCTGAGGAGCCCGGGCCATTACGTCATCACCGGCTCCACGAAGACCGGAGCCGCGAAAGCGCTCCCCACCACCTCGAGGTCTCTGGATACAGACAGACGCCACGACTCCAACATGAACAGCCCCACTTCCGACCGTGGCCTCTGCAGCAACAGCTCGGACGACAGAACACTCTCCAACAAGCCCCAGTACAGATCGCCCCAGCACAGACCGACTCACCCCACACGCCACAAAAGCCACGAAACTAAGCAACCCAACCCACTCGCAGAGAGCAACTCCAGCCAAGCGGTCTGCCTCAAGGCCGTGCTGAAAAGCAACGCGATCGACGCGAAACTTCACCCGCGTATCGAACAAACGCGTTACCACGGCGACGGCAGGAAGACCCACCAGCGCGTGTTCAGCGACAACGCCAAGCAATTCCGGCCCGTGCCCACCGGCAATAGCGCCGCTTTCGGCGTGTCGATAAAGCGCTCGAGCTCTTTCAACACGGTGAACAGGAACAACAACTACATCGAAGTGTCTAGAATCAAGTCGAGGCGGTCCAGCGGCCACTCGGAGTACAAGGAGGACTATCTATCCGACGAGTCGGACAACGGATCGTTCGACAAGTCGCAAGACGTCAGGTTCAAGAGGGCGACGCTGAGAGGGAGGATCGACTCGCCGGATCTGAAGTCCGTGGCGCCCGCCAACTCGCCCAGGTGCCCGAACACGCCCGAAATGCAGAGGAAGTTCGGGCCGGGCCTGGTGCGGAACACGGGCCACACCAGGGAGAGGCACTCGAGGATGTCCGAGCCCCCGGCCTCGAGGGAGGAGAGGGCGAAGACCGCCAACCATCAGAGTAGACGGACGTCGGACCCGACCAGGCAAGCGGCGCTGAGCAGACTGACCAAGTCCAGGTCCTCGACGAGGGAGGTGCAGCCGCCGAGGGTCCAGGAGAAAGGTGCGTATTGAAATTTTAGTTCCGTGTGCATTTGCTGAGTTTCGGCTACGGCCCTGAGGGTTATATGTTCAATCCCATATGGGCGAAGTCTTTGTTGTGTTGATATCACGCTGCTCGTAATAAATAATCAATCGTAGCCAAAACCACTTACAAGAGCCACGTGTTGTGCTTACCCCACCTATGTCGGAACAGTTTCGTGTATTTATGTAGGAATGCAATTGATAAATATTAATAGTGCTGACAACGTATTTTAGTGCAAGTAGAATATTTACTGAGCATGTAGGAGTATAAAGCATGTAAGAAAAGACAACCATTCCAGAAGAAATGACGGGAACAATAGCCCCAGAGAAAGAAATATAACGCGTTCGATCAAGTTTAATTATATATTTAATTATAATTAAAGTTGATCATATATTTAATTGTAATTTGTTAAGTTACGTGATCCCTGCTTTAGGATAAACCTGTGCTATTGAGGCAATTTAAAATCACAGAATAAACCACGACGCCTGGAAGGCCTCAAACGGTAATCGAACTCACAACCCGTGATGGCCAAGTCTATCGCTGTTCGATGTTCAAATATTTGATCATTTATTATTTATTGATCTACTCTATCTTCAAAAAGAGGCCGTGTAAAACGCTGATATTCTTGAACGTAATTTGCATTTTCAAGGTGTAAACATTATTAATGATTAATTCTTGTCTAATTCGTTGAAGGTGAAGTGAAGGGCATTATCATCAGGGTCAGTGTTGGAATTTTCAGCGGACACGCGAACCGGAGAGTTGGAGAGAGCAAGGATTTTTTCCGAACGTCACGCTATATCTAAAGTACCCGCGCCGGCTTCACACGGGTGCAATGTATTATACATATAAACCTTCCTCTTGAATCACTCTATCTAGTAAAAAAAACCGCATAAAGATCCGTTACGTACTTTTAAAGATCTAAGCATACATAGGGACAGTAAAACAGCGGGAAGACTTCGTTTTTATACTATGTAGTGATATGCAGATAAAATTGGAGTGTCATATTTTTATGTTTATTTTATCATATTAAAATAACCGGATAACAAAAACTTTTTACTAAATGCTTATGGATGTATATACGGTACACATACCAAAGTACAATTTTTGTCTGTATGTCCGTCTGTTCCGGCTAATATCTGTAACGGCTGGGCCGATTTTGACGGGACTTTCACTGGCAGATAACTGATGTAATGAGGAGTAACTTGGCTACTTTTATTTAGGAAATTTTATTATTTATTTTAAATTGCACGCGGACCAAGTCGCGGGCACAGCTAGTTAAATAATAAGACATTAAAGAGAAATACATGTAAAATCCATTACTCGGCATAGTAAAAGTAGTAGGTAGTTCCAAAAGTCATGTACATGATCATGTTTGCCTCAGCATATTTCAAAAGGAAGACCAGAATTAAAAGATAGTAAGATATTAATGATTTTAAGTCCAACATTATTAATTATAGAATCTTTCCGTACCCTTTAATTATTGGCCTCAAAACAAAGCTAGTTTTTTTTATTCCGTTACTTAATTACTCCTAATTATACTTATCCCCATAGAAGTGAGCATTTAAGTTATATTCTCATCATTTTTTAAGTATAACATGTTATAGTGATGACAAATACATATAATAACACTGGGTCACCGAGACGGTTTATGGTCAAAATGCATAAGGAAGTGCTCATGGATACTGCCCGTATCATTTTCTCTCCCTGACCCCATAACCTACGGCCGTCTGGTCTCTGTGGTATCTGTGGTCAAAGATATCTTTATACATATAATTCTTCTATACGTGTGTACATCACTGAATTCTTCCCAAACGGCTGGACCGATTTTAATAAAATTTCTTACGTGTCTTCAGGTCGATTCGAGAATGGTTAAGATTCACAATTCGTTTTTTTTATTTATGTGTTGTTGTCGGTTTTAAGTCGTGTATACAGGACCTTTGTCCGGTCCGCTAGTATTTATATAATTGTATTTAAACGTAAAATTATAAATTTTATTGTATTTCATTCGTAATCATTTTGTGTACATCCAATATTACGAGTCATCCAGTATGCAGGGCCGTGATAGCTAATTGTCCGGGCGCTTCTTTTAATTCAATGTACTCGAGCAACCTCAATCAATCAATGGTGCTCGCACCAATGAAATTGTTGTATTAAGTGCTGGCTTAACGTTCGCAGCGGTGAGGAAGCCTGCATATTTACGAAAATAATAACAAATAAGATATTTCGAAGATACGTAAAGTAACGCCAATCCGCAGTGGGGTCCCGTGGTGGACCATGCCCTGAGTGGAGTGAGTGGTCCCAGCAGTGGGACATGCATAGGGTGATAATAATAATAATAAAGCCTCTTTAGTAATAATTTTTTTAATACATATAGTCAAAAGGCTCTTGGCGAGTATAGGTCTTCTCCAACTAGTATAGGCTGATACTGGGGCATATATAGGCTGATAATTTACTTAAATAGTATATCCTGCTATTATTATATTACATATTATGTATAAATATTAAATGCCGATACTTTACTTAAATATTATATCCCAGACGGACGGTAACCTAATTAGAATCGCCCATAGGTATGGTAAAAATTCCAGGTCAGAAGAAACCGAGCCAGCACCGGTCTTCGTCCGCGCTGGCCACCAAGGAGGTGGAGTTCTCCAACTGGAAGAAGAGGTCCTCCTACGACCCCATGAAGGCCGCGCAGGAGGGCAGAAAGAGACAGCAGATGGCGAGGCGGCAGGAGTGCAACAAGGACGACCTCAGTTCGCCCAGGCACGTACTTAAATCGTTAACAGATGTATACAAGGTTATGGGGAATCTTATTGTCAATTCTAAAGAGATATCTGAGCGGAATGTCATTGTATACTACATTTGTTTCATTTTTTGAGACGATGTCTATAAAAGTTGCCTTTTTTGTGTCTTATTTAACTTAAAAAGTTGTCAATCGTGCCGGTGGTTCACCTTATGTTAACTGATTATAGCCGAATGGTTGCAGATGCTTTGACAACCTTCAAAAAAGTGGGTTAAAATTCGAAAAACTTTATTGTTGTAATTTTATGTAGTACTGTAGTTTTAAAAATGTACTGGAAGTGCTGTATTTATGTTTCGTCTGCTGGGTGAGGTAGTCGGGGCCCACTTTTTATAACGTGGCAACGCACCGGCAACTCTACGGCGCTACGGGTGTTGCAAATATTCTTGGGTGGCGATTATCACTTAACATCGCTTGCGGCCCTCTGACATAAAAAATACACGTCCAGTACGCTTTCAGTAAGTCTGATAAAAGTAGTCAGAATACGTTCCAACATCATCGATGTCTCGTTTCAGCCAATCCTCCCCAGTCCACCGCTCGCAGTCCTTCCACACGACGAACATAGCGGACCTGGAGACGCTGGACTACTCCTCGGAGGACGACCAGATGCTGTCCACGCTGCCCATAGACCCGATGGTCACGTCCACCCACTCGGACATCCTGGACCTGAGGCCGAAAGACCACACCAGGGAGAATCTCCGGCGGCAGGCGATGAGCAACGACGTGGTTCTGTCCAGGAACTACGTCACCAGCTTTCAGGTAATTGATTGCGATGCCCTCAAAGGGTGGACGGTTACCATCACGTTTTTCACTACCTAACGCCCGGTTTCTGAAACACTGATCATCGTAGATGACAACTAATCAGCTGTCAAATGGCTTTTTTAATTATGTTTATGTTGCCAAAAGGATTGTTAAACTTTGAATTGATCATTCTGATTAACAATCCTTTTGGCAACATAAATATCATTTGGAAAGCCATTTGACAGCATTAATTGACATACACGATGATCAGTGTTTCAGAAACCGGGCGTAAGAATATCATTTTGGGTGAGGCTCTTTCATCATATTTCTCCACTTTTCTTTCTTATTTTTTTCACGCTAATATTTCAACTACGTCTAAGAGCCAGTATCGTCAAAGCGCTGCCATTGATACCTCCATCTTCAGGTGAACCAGCCGTCGAAGAAGAAAGCGAAAGGAGGCAGGGAGGCGGACAAGCGCAAGACCTACATCGTCGACGACATCACCCCCACGAGGGAGAACGTGGACTTCCTCCCGAAGAGGGAGAGGGAGAGCGTGGACTTCCTGAAGGGCGAGGTCGTGGACAAGAGGAAGACCTTCATCCTGGACAGCGACACGAACTCCACCACGAACGGCAGCAGCCCGAGGAACTCGTCGATATTCAGCCACGAGAAGAACTCTCTCACCACCGGCACCAGCGATACGGAGTGCGAGAGCGGCACGGAGAGCGCCCCGGTGGTGATGAGGCACCAGGGCGGGAAGAAGGGGACGGCGCAGGCGAAACAGAGGTGAGGACTAAGTTATACCTCTTTTGACGCTCTCGAAAAGTGTGAGAGGGAATTTAAAAATAATGGTGTTAACGTGGCAATAACTTTTCGACATTTACCTATAATGTTACTTAATTAAACCTTCAGTGCATTTAATGCCTTTTTTTCACAAACAACGAGTACTGGCACAAAGAATATTTGAAAATTTCTGCATAACTTGTTGGGCGGACACAGTTAAAATGTATGCATTGTTTAGGTTGCTCTACAAATATTTCCAGTTCATTTTATTCATTAAAAATAAAACAATTTGACTTCAAATATCTCACTCACTATGCATATTTTATTGTAGTACGGTTCATAAATGACGGACTTCTGTCGTAACAAAGTGGTTTGGAGCCTCGTTCTTTCTTGTAGTCGGTTGAAGATACAACGGTTACTGGCTTATTGCTTTATTGCGTTGATGCAGTTATTGAGAATTAATACATTAGTGGGAAAAAAATGACAGATAATAAATTATAGACTTGATCCATTACGTTACAACTGATAGATAAATTACATTTTTTTCTTATAATAAAATAAATAAAATAAAATGAAAATTGAATATTAGGCACTGAAGTTAAGTTGCGTCATACAGCTCTAATTGGTACCATTTTGAGAAGTTGGTCCTTCGAGCCCGTCGAACTGATTTTCAAGCGGAAACCGCCCTTATCCCCTCAGGTATAGCGGTGACTATTCAATGTCATCGTCCACCACCTCGATCGGCCAACAGCACAAGCGGCCCAAGGAGATCCAGCCCAGGTACCTGGACATTTCCAAGTACAAGGCGGAGAGCTCGCCGAAGAACTTCCTCAGGAGGGATCCCAGTAAGACGTACGTCGGCGTTCTCAACAACCACGAGAGGACGGTCAGCAAAGGGAGCGCGCAGCATTACGAAATGGGTATGTATCTTGTATTAACTGATGTTTTTGCTTTCAGTCCCGAGACTATTAAAGCTTCATCGGACGCAGAACCGGTGGGCTAGCCAGAACCCACGGGTTTGGAGAATGGGTTATGTGTGTTTTGTTTGGAAAGGGTTTGTTAGTAAGTTCCAAATGTGGTGGGGCCACCCTACAGCCTCGGCCGTTGCACGAATGGGCAGCTCCGTCCGGGTAGGCACCACGACCTCACAGAAGACCGGCGTAAAGGGGAAGTATAATACTTTCGCGTTTCGTCTGGTGAGTGCGGTGGCCGGAGCCCAATTTTCGAAAGGTTGCCAACGCAACTGCAACCGTCGGGTGTAGCAGATGTCCATGGGCGGTATTCACTTAACATCGGATGAACCGTCTGCTCGTTTGCAACTTTTCATACAAAAAAATCTAAAGGTATTTATGAATTACGCAGACGAATGAATTGACCAATGCAAAGCCGTACTTTTCTGGTGATTTACACAAGTATAAGTGTTACAGCGCCACCTATCATGTAAAGGATGCAACATATGCTCAACCATCGATATTTCTACTTTTCCTGCCTACCTGCGACTTTTATGTTTTTATTATCTACGTTCAACGTCTTTTACTTTATCATAATGCTTCCGTTCTGTTCTATTTCTTACTTGCTACTACAATACACAGTTTCTAAATTATTTCAAAGCCCACAAAATCCACAATATCATTAATTCTTCAAAGAATTAAGAAATAGCGAGAATCGTTTTCCGTCTTCCGTCTTCTTGACCGTCTTCCGTCTTCTTGACCGTCTTCCGCGTTTCCAGAACAAAAGAAGCAGGAGCTGGAGAAGTGGAAACGGAGGGCATCGTACGATCCGCGGAAGGCGGCGGCCCAAGGGAAGACCGCCAAGGCGACCCCGAACACTGCGAGGTGAGTCACTCCCACGGGAGACTCGAACGTTCTAGAGGTCACCGTTATTTATACGACAGACAACACAGCGCGTTACTCTGTCGTATATGTACAACTAGCGACCCGCCCCGGCTTCGCACGGGTGCGATGTATTACAAATATAAACCTTCCCCTAAATCACTCTTTGTTTTATTAATCTGTGGTTTTGTTTGACATATGTATACATGTACATTTAAATGTTGTATTCGTTGTGTTGTATGTGTGTGTATGTACTTTAACGTTACTGTCCGAGGGTCCGATTGAATACCTAACCTAATCTTTTTCTCCGATTACAAATTCTAGAGCGTGACAGATGTCAAATGCATGCAATTCTGGCTAAAGTGACACGAAGGCCGCCATCTTGTCGTGTGAGGTTAGTTATATGTGGGGACGGGCTGTGGCGTTTTCCGGTTGGCACCTAATCGGCACAGCACTGGTTTTCTCTCCTACAAGGCTTTGTAAAAACTCGCTTCGAATAACTAGTGCTAATTTTCTCATCCTATCTACTCTTACAGAAACCGCTTTTTCGTAAATTCTAATGGTTGACAGTTTTTTTTCATTGTGATAACCCGCTCACCCGCCATCTTGCTTACGTCATGTTCTCAATCCCATTTTGCCCATCAACATTTGACATTTACAATTTTACTAATTTCTCTGTGTTACTGTTACACCTCGATTGGCACCTTTCAAATGAAGCTATTGGTTTTTTCTCTCGTGTATCTTCCCATATCATTGAAACACTAATTAAATTTCATTATTTTTTAATAATTTGGCTGGTTTTTTTCCGTTCAATGTTATTCATTCATAACGTATAATTAATTTTTAATAGTGAAATATCTTTTTCTGATTGATTTTGTACGAAAAATAGAAGTTCATAGTTGTTATTCTACCACATTTATTATTTGTGGATTAATATTTATTGTTGAGTCGTTACCATCAAAATATTTCATTAAACCTTTTTGCGCCCCTTATACATGTGTGATGAAAGATTATTTTTAGCCTGTACACATTAATTGTCTATGTATTGTGTAGGTGCGCTAGGGCCGTTTTAGATATGGAATAACATTTTAAATATGTTTAGCGGTGTTTAAATTGTACCCGTTTTTTTACCTTAAACCGTCATGAATATTAATACTGTCTATTTTCCGGTTTCCAGTAGCGTTCTGCGATCTCAGTCTTTCCACGGACCGGTGCTAGTCTCCCCAAATGTTCGCTGTCAGCCGCCTCCGACGGAAATAACGGAGAGTTACGACGCTTCGAGCGACAACGACTTCTAAGGCGCCCAGCGTAAGGTCGAATGTACGACGGCATTGTGATAGTATGTTATTGGACAACGATGTGTGAATGTAGCGTGGCAAACGGTGTGAGTGTTAAAGAACCAAATAATAAAATTAATAAGCAATTGTTTCATTCGCAGTATTTCGCTTTTGTCTAATTTTTTTGACAGATGTCAGATTTGCGCGCCAAATGCGACATATCAACAACTATATGTGACTTCTTTTAAGAGAAGAAATAACGGAGAGTTACGACGCTTTTCTCTACGGCGCCCAGCGTAGGTCGAATGTTAGACGGCAGTTGATTAGTCTGTTATTGGACAACGAGTGTGAAGAGCCATTTATTAAAGAAAGAAGAAGAAGAACTATATGTGACAGTTCATGGGGTAGTTTTTTTTTTTAATTTTGTAATTAATTATCGCACAATGAAACTCAAGTTTGCCGTATTAATTTTGTGAGTACATTTTTTTAATTATTGTACATCGGTGTTACTTAGTCGGTTAGTTAACATAAATGAGGAGTTATATAAATAAGAATGCCTATTTAATATGCATCGGAGACACGATCACTACAAGTGTTATCAAAGTTTTTGTACGATTATGCAGTTCAATGTATTTTCATATTTTAGGGGTCATTCGATATTTAGAAATTTATTTATAGTTCATAGAATTAGCGTTTAATTGCTCATATCTTACATCGATTAGTTTTAAACGTCATTTTTTATATCTTAATCAATTTTAAGGCTGGATAGTCAAATGTAGATTCGATTTTACATATAAGTGCAATATTATATCACAATTAAATTTGTAATGTATTATAAAGCTTTATTCGAGATTACAAATTGATAGAAATGTCCCATATCATCGTATATCAAATAATTGGTACAGTCATGAATGCTTTAAATACTTTATCATCATCATCAAGTTTTAAATTATTTTTTATTATGCATAATTATGCATGCATCCATGACCTACGGCATAAATTAATAATTTTTTAATTAAAATGTAACATTAATGCTTATTATATTCACTTTAAATACTAATGCGATGCCAAGTGCAAATTTTAGAATTAAATACAATGCAATAAAACTTCTCCACTCTCCGTCACTATTGTATTTAGACTGTCAAAAATTCAAAACGTCCTTTTAGAATTACTACGATTGCCGCACGGGCCTTCGTTAAATTATCTAGATTACTGTCTGTCTGTCCGATTTGTCAATATAAGTGATATAGTTGATGTTATCATACTCAGTTGATGTTATCCTTTGGCACTAAAATAAAATTTTTAAAAACAAACCGCCGCAGTCTACTTTTAATATCCGCTGTAATTGTAATAACGAGAATTCTTAAACTTAACTAAAAAACTTATTATAAGTTATGAAGCTAAGTCAGAGAAAACTCAGCAGAAAGTTTTTTTTAATCTGCGAAAGTTTTATCTAAATTATTAGCGCTAGAGGACAATATCAACCAATTGTCATTGAAACACCACGAAGATCCAGAGCAAAGCAATAAATAAATAAGTTATATTTTCGTAATTTCTTTACTTTCACATCTTATTTCTATAGTTATTAATAAAATTATGTCGAGAATAGTTCTTAATATTTTTATGATTTGAGAAAAATTTTAAATACTCACTTTTTTTTTGCAACCTAGTACCTATATGTACTGTCTTTAATATGATGAAATTTTATATTTTTTTTAAATATTTCAAATAGTCTCGTCTGGAACCTAGCTAGGAATAAACTATGAAAAACGAAATCGAAATGATTTTGTCGATAATGGTGCGATATGAATTATTCAATGAAACGGACTAGAAGTTACGTTTGTTTTTATGATCTACAACTGATGCGTTATATATAATTTTTAATAAATTTTATACTAATATATAATATTCATACTCAGAAGTACAGTATTTTGATTTTTTAACAGTATTGTTTTAATGAATAAAATTAGAAATGACTAACAGAAACAAATCGCAATGTCATTGAATGGATTTCTCATAATTTTTTTTAAATATGTATATGCTTATTAAAAATATTCGTTTATACAATTTGTAAATTACTACGCTTTAATTATGTAAGAATCAATGAATGTGTTGTAGTGCGATGTTGCTTACGAGTTATAGGCAGTGACGTCGCCTCCGTGTAGAATTAAATCATTCCATGCTCATTCAGGAAAAAATTAGCTGTGTCTAGTTTTGTCACACAATGGGAGCCGCTTTTAATATTTGTATTTTAAGAAGCTCGAAGCGATTCAAGTAGTTAATTATTGTACGGTATCGATGTTTAGTTTTTTTTCGTAAAAAACATTCTTTAACTGGAGAATTATACTATGAAATTATTACGCGCCTTTTATTTTTACCCTTACCTCGTAGGTTTCTAATTATAATATTTTCTCGTATTTGAAACTGCTTACGAATGCTATCACGTTTTATTTTAATTGCCAAAACACTTAATGGGAAAATGGAAAAGGAAATTGCTGTGCCTATTTTTCTGTGTAAAGTTCCCAAATGAAAAGGCTGTTCCCCTCATATTAAGTAAATACTACCATCCATGAACAGGTACAACACCCGGTGGCTTGAAATTCTATAAAAAAACAACGCACGATGGCTTGCAGATGCGTTGAAATTCTATAAAAAGGGCTCCGGCTACCTCACCACTACACCAAACGCGATAATAGTGTAATACTTCCGCTTCACGCCGGTCTTTTGTGAGGCTCACTCGTGCCACAGCACAATTTTTTGCGTGGCACCACCACAGTAACAGGGAACAGTATTTGAGGAAAGTTTCGTCTCAGATTCTTCGTGTCGACACAATTTATTTTCTTTGACTCTATTTTAATCTTGGTAACACTGATCAAAGAGCGGAAGATTAGATGATGGTGACTAATCAAATAGGACTTGAATCGATTTAATTTTCAAATACTTGATTTGGTGTTGACTGAACCTACCGATGGTAATTGTCTAGCCTGCTTGAAAAGTGGAGAAAATAGTCCGAGATTTTGTTACGCGTAAATCGGTATCAAATTTAATTTTTAAAACATGTATACATGTACCCAAGATTTGAGAATGAGAAGAAACTGATAGTGTTAAAACAATATGGGTGGATGTAATAACATTAAAAATGTTCATTATTCACAAAAAATAACAAAACTGGATATCATCTTATGTCGGACTATGTCAACATTTCTCGCGAAAGGATTTAAAATTTTTATACGGAATAAAAGAAGTTACAGCATTTCTACAATCGTTTATTTTTATCACATTAATACCTCCATAATTTTAAACTTTCACATCTGTCATGGCAGTGCACAGTTATCTGTAGAGTATACATGGATTTATTTAACTAAAATATTTCTTTATGGATAACGGACGTTCCGATGCGGATGTAGTTTATCTTAAAAAAGGCATTTTTTACACTAACAATTAGGATGAAAAACATAAAAGTATTAAAAAAGTTATCAAAGTAAATAACATTATAAAAACAATGTCTGTCAATCTTTCAAAGTAAACGGAGTGGGCAGCAAAACATTTAACAGACATACTTGTAAATTAATCGTAGCGTGTCAATTTAAATTGGCATTTCCACAATATCATTTATATATTTTAAATTTACAAAGGCACTTACTCCAGCTTTCTATTCAGTAAAGATAAACTGCAAACTGTTCGAAACGCCCGAAATCCACTAAAATATGGCGGCTTATTTCGTAATTGTCTGTTTCGTATCAGGACCACATAGGCGACGTAGATCTATAGCTGTCAATCAATCTCTCTTATGATCTTGTGATATTTAGATAAAAATTGAACATAATAATTCTGATGAATTATTATACCGTTTGATACCAAATGGCCCTGACATAAAATTACATGAGCAATGTAATGACTATGTACGTAACTTTATGGCTTTCTTTGTATTTGCTACTTATTCTATATTTATGTGTTTACAGTTTATTTTATTTGTAATTTGTGAGTGACTTTACCTGGAATTTCTTAATCGAAACAACAAAACAAAGAATACAATGTTTTAAAATTAAAAATGACCTATATTTTATTATTATTAGCTATTCTGGTTTCTTCAAAACGATACCACAAAGTTGCTACATTTGTATTACGATCAGTAAAAAGTTAGTTATACACAAAAATTAAATATCTCACATTTCATACACAATAATAATAAATATCAAAATTTCCACAAGGCAATGAGTGTAATAAATAATAAATATTTAGAGACACGAAAAATAATAGTTATAAGATTATTAGGTATCGTATTAAAGCCTATTAAATAAATAATATATAGACGTCTATAAAAAAAGAGTCAGGAATTGGACAGTCTTTGAAAATCGTTCAAGGTATCATAGACATATTTTTGTAAAGAATGAGATCAGTAATGTAAAAAACCTACTTATCTTCTAATAAATGCTTTATATACAACATTTACAAAACAATACACAATTTTCATACTAAATTGGGCAGACACGTTCATTTCCCGCGCTTTCCAACGCCATTTTGAAAAAGAAGTCGCAGAAAGTTCAAAACATAGAGCCCATATATAATTTTTCTTTCAAGTTTATTTAGTTCAGATTAAGAATAATTTATAAAATGAGTAGAATTACTAACTCGGGAATTGACTATAATAATAAAATATTTAAAATCTTCGTAATAACAACCTGTTTTTGGCAACTTTTTTTAGAATATGTTTTAATTGGCTAGAAAAATGGGTGTTTGTTGATAAATACACGTTAATCCTATGAATAATTTTACTAAACAATATATTTTTATATAATTGCGTGTAATCCAATCTATTTACTAAACAATATAGATTGCTAAATAAGTAAATAAAGATTCCTTCTTGTACATTTTACGAAAAAGTATCTTACATAAATCCACGTATTAGAGAAAGGGTAGGTACATATATAAAATTGTTAAATACAATCATAGTGATTCTAATATTTTATTTAAGTTAATAATTCACTTAACATCAAGTGAACCGTCTGCTCGTTTGGCAACTTTTCACATAAAAAAATAGTTTGTGTAAAATATTATAGAACATAAATTAATATAGAGTGGACAAACACAAAGAAGGAATGTTGTTGAAAGATTTGCAATTAACTCTCTTTTGAATGTACGACGTTTTGACGTCGACGCTCGACGACAACATTCCGAGGGCATTTCTGGGGAGAAAATCTTTCTTTATGTCATTTGGAACCGGAACCAGGATCATAAAAGTTACACATATAGACAATTTAAAAGTTTTCAAAATCAAACCGGTGTAAATAAATATATTATACTACGAAAGGTCCATGCGTTCGGACTATGCATTAACGACTTACTTTTTTACTTTACATGTTTCGGGAAACGTCGAAACTTAAAAACTACGTTACGTGTGTACGTGTAAGCATTTATTGACTAGACGCAAGCGATCTGCCGCGCGTGATTATTGCGGCAGTCTCAGCCTGGGAAATGAATCGGCTGAAATAGGGATGTTTCTTTTATATATCGATATTTTCAGCCGATACATTTAGATCCGATATCGATAGAAAATATTCAATATCGAAAACCGTATCAAAAACGATATTTTTACAAATTCGAATCCGGCACACAGTCCTTAGGTGTCAAACATTTAATACTTATACGCTTTTTTTGGACGACAGGTTTTATAGGACCTAAAGAGAAAATACCGATCTATCGAAGAGAATTTTCTCTTTGATATATCGAGGTCAACATCGATATTTTTACAAATATCGATATATCGATATATTTTTTAACTTTCGACATCCCTAGTGTGAAATTACACGGGCATCGCGCTCTAGCTGTAAGGATGAACTCAGGACTAGGACCGCGTCCAGGCCTACTTGGAGCCCTGACGGATGGAGTCGTCATCACCGGCGCGGTTCCGCCTCTCGCAGCGCTTCTGGTGCTGCCTGATGAACGCGCTCAGCCTGTTCAGCAGGAACTGCTTGTCGTGGCCCTCCAACACGAGCTGGCTCCTCAGCACCGCCACCATGTGCCGGTTGGCGGTCGCCACCGCCCAGTAGTAGTACAGCAGCAGCAGGCAGATGGCGAACGCCGGCACCGCGAAGGTCGCGGTGCCGAGGAGGAACACCAGCTCGCGCACCAGCGGTGGCAGGCCCTCGAAGGTTGCCACCGCGAACTGCCACACGGCCGCGTACCCCCTGAAGGGTCCGCATCCCGCCGACGGTGGCATCTCCGCCACGCTGTACGCCACCGGCGCGACGGATATCACGAAACCGACCAGCAGCACAGACATGAAGAGCGACTTCGACTTGGACGCGCGGTACACCACCGGCGAGGGGGTGCAGTTGACCAGGCAGTTGAACTTCTTCATGTAGAACAGGAGGAAGTAGAAGACGACGCCGATTATCGGCAGGAAGGGGCAGAAGAAGGCGCCCATCCAGATTATCGTCTGGATGTAGACGATGTCGAGCACGTGCTTGGGTAGGTAGAAGCCCTGGGTGCCGATGATCTTCAGGCAGCCGTTCGAGTGGCGGCCGAGGAAGGACCTGGGGAAGTTCACGAGGAACGTCATCAGGAACTGGACCGCGAAGTCGGTCACGATCAGCTTGTAGAACTGCTGGCCCACGTACGTCTCCCAGCAGTCGCGGTCCGCCCACCTCCGGCCCGAGGACGCCCCTCACCTGCATGTACACCTGGCTGAGGAGGACCGCGAAAGAGGCCAAACGCAGCAGCACCGTCCGCAGCAGAGTGATCAGGATCTCGTGTCGGGGCCTGTAGCCCTCGTAGCCTATCAAATAGCCGAAGACCTCTGGCACGAAGAGATTCAAAACGACGATGCAGATGTAAGGGAGGAACCCCAGCAACGTGTTCCGGATCTGGCTCCTGGACGGCGCGGAGGCCAGGTCCTCCGCGTAGGTCTCGTTCGGGCCCGCAGTCGTCAGATCCCCCGTGAACGGGTACAGAGAGCTGGTGGAGAAGCTGAACGCCAAGTAGATGATCACGCCGGACACCACCAGTATGAGGAGAACGAACGCGTTTATCAGCACCCTGCGAAGATGGAGTAGCAGGGTGCCCTCCCTGGTCCGCGACTGCTTCTCCTCCTTGTACAACTCCTCCTGCAGACAGCCCTTGATCTCGTTGAACAGTGCCACGTGCTTGATCTTGGCCGACTTGGCGTTGTGCACGCAGAAGTCCCAGCCGCCGAAGACCAGGTTGCAGTAGAGGTAGAACTGGCCCTCGCTCTCCACCAGCCGCTCCTTGAAGCCCTTCGCGCCGGCGGTCACGACCGCCACCAGGGAGAGGAGGGCCCACGTGATCGGCACCAGGATGTACGCCAGCGGCATGTTGTAGCCCATCGTGCCGAGGAAATTGGGCAGCTCGTAGACTAGCACCTGGTCGCTGTACATTCCGTAGAACAGAACGGAGCCCTCCATCCAGCCGGTGCCCTGGATGAAGTCTAGGACGACGTTGCCGGAGGAGTTGCCCAGATCGGGGCAGCCGGCGGTGGCGTTGTGATTACCGAAACACTCGTACAGCAAGGAGTTGGGCGCGATGAGGAAGCACAGCGTCAGGGCGGACATCGCCACGTTGAGGAACAGGAGCCACCTGAGGAAGAGGAAGTAGGAGACGACGCCGGTGCCGAACTTGCCCTCGATGACCCTCATGGAGCCGTGCCAGAGGCCCAGCTTGGCCAGCACCTCGCCGAGGCGCGACCTGAAACGGTGCCAGACCTTCCGCTGCCGCCACTGCAGCTGCTCCAGACCTTGGAGGCGGAGTTTGGTCGCGTTCTGGAAGATGGAACGCGAGAGTTATTAGCAGTTGTTAATCTTATTGCTCTAAAGTTCAGGTAAGTTAAGCAAATCGGGCAGTTCCTAAAGTTATTTGGAAATATAATATGTTTGATATAACAAATGCATAAATATGTTGTGTGTATATTTTTTGCTATCTACATCCAAACTAAGCAAAACTTATTAATAACACATATTAGAAACATATGGGTCATATCACGTAGACATTAGAAAAACAATAGTGTTCATATTTCTTGAATAGTGGGGATCGAACCCACATCTTCCGCAAGAAACAGAAACATCCGCATAATAAACTTAACTGTCAAATTTTCCCGCACAATACGAGAAAAATACAATTTCCAAAACTCCATAAAGGCAAAAGGAAAGCCAACCACTAAACCAATCTTCTACTTAAACATGTAGTTATAAAAGTGAGTGTTTCTGTTTCTCCCTCACTTACTCCTGTGTCTGAATATATTACATAATTTATTTTAAATCTAACAACCTGTAGTCGCGCCTTCAATTCTCGTTTCTGGCTCATGGGCACCGGCATCGCTTTGATCTGCATGATCTCTTCCCAACTGCGCTCCTCGTTAGACAGGTTCTCTGCAGATTTACACCAATTTTAATAGTTGGAGTTTGATAAACATATCCGTACTATTAAAGTTTATAAGAAAAATGGACGAAGTTTTTCGCCGCTGCGGGATACAAGCCGACGTCTTCCGGAATCGCGCAAACTGTAACCACTAAGCTAAACGGCTGATTGCCACACCGACTAAAGTCTTACGTATTTTATTTACATTTTTTATTTATTTTACAATAGATTACATAATTAACGACTGATGCGGCAAGCATTGCTCAGTGGTTAAAGCGTCTGGACGTCATTTTTTAGATTTTTTCACAAACTTTAATGTTTCATCTTAAGTGCAGAGGTTAGCAATAAAAAAATTTAAATATCTGCAATATTTAGTAAATAGTAGTTACTGCATTTGCCGCAACGTTTATACGGGCTGCGTCAGATGATGCTTTGCATATGCCATATGCGAAAACATTACCCTAACATGGCAGAGACAACGCCAAACTTTTAAATATATTTACTTGCCAATGCAGCTTACTGTTCATTTTTAAATTATAGATTATAAATAGAGTAGATATAATTTCTGACCTGTCAAGGCTTCACAATTAGATTGTTCGGAACACGGAAAAAACGGCACAATACAAAAACTAGTAAAAAAGATACACGATACTCAATTATATTTTCTGATCAACACAAAAAATCGCAACCAGATCTGAATAAAAAACTTAACTGTCAAATTTTCCCGCGCAATACGAGAAAAATAAAGTTTACATCATAAGCTATAAAGGTTAAAGGCTATAAGGCTTAGTTTTGACGTGAATCAAAAATAAAATCAGTTTAATTCAAAAGACATCGAATTAATCACTCAAGAACAGCAAAAAATACACTGACACAAAATAATGCAACAATCTTCGCAAGCGAAAAACATCATTGACTGGATAGTGAAAAAAAAGCTAAGCTGTCAATTTTTGGCCGCGATGCGAGCAATGGCGGACGGTCGGAAACATTACGAACGCGTAACCTATAATTTGTTAACGATTAATTGTTATTCGACTTTTTCACGTCTCGCAAAACGCACGGTCACGAACCGAATGCATTCTAGGTTCGGCCTCAATTCGAGCCGTTTCGAGTGAAACATTCGACGCATGAATTATTGTAGGCGTTCACTTTACTTACTTTCCAAATTCCAAAGTTATTTACTCGTACATACTTTTAGTATATTTTTATGAGCTGACGATGTTGCTGATCAGGAAATTATTAAATTTTGATTACCGTTAGCGGTTTCATGTTAAATATAAATGAGAGTTCATCGTCGAAATTATATTTAGCCATCGCGTATATATGCCATCGTATATACAGCGTGTCTTTACAACCGTGACAATAAATGAACACACGTGTAACGCTACTTGCCAATAATCATAAAAAATACATAATTAAAAAGAAATAATTTTGAAACAAATTAATTAAATAAAAAAGAAATAAAATTTGTAACATCCAGCTACAACTGACTGATTCATACATTCCGGGACTTTATAATTCGTTCCCACAGCGTCGCGTTACAATTCTCTCCTTCTAACAGTATGTTTTGTCTCTTTTAAATTCATTCCACCCATTCATATGCTTTGTGACCTTTACAAATGAACTTTACGTTACAGTTTTATACGTAAGGGTGTTCTAAAATTGTATGTTTTGGAAAATTTAATAACTCGGTGAATATTGATGTTTGAATAATGTAAATTTTTGATACAATTTTAAAAAGTTATCCTCTATATGTGTGTTCATTTATTGTCGCGGTTGTAACGACACGCTGTATAACGAGTGAATCATTTTCGTAATGTTTTAAATGAGATAATACTATATTTTAAATCGCACTATATAATCTATAACACCCGTATAATCAGATGCGTCGTAAACGTAAACGTGTAAAATGTGTGATACCGTCTATTTAGTTATTTGTCGAAACTGATTCTTGTGTCTTCTTCTCTAATAATGGTAACAGCATGTATTTTAGTTCTGTTAGTGTTATTTACTGAGTTTTAATTATATTCGGGTATTGCGTCTATCACATATTCTCACCGCAGGAAAATTTATTAGGTGAAATGCCTAAACACGCCTTTCGTGTTCTCTTGTCTGCAACGATATCTTTATTGATAAAGCCGATTGAATACCAAAATCGCTTCGAGCGTTCGTATAGACGTCACTTTATGACGGCACGTATCGAACCACGGCTGCATACAAAGCTTACGACAGCATTCCATTAGTCTCCATTACGGGGCTGCTAGCTAGAAAAATGTGTTTTTAAAGAATTTATATCAGTTTAAAGTTCACTATCTGCAACACTCGACGGTATTGTCGACCTTAAGGACAGCTAGCCCCGTCTACCCCAATCACCTGATGATACGTAAAATTATAGGGCGCTTCAGTCTTCTTTGAGGATTCTAATTCCTATACTGATTTAGGATATTAATGAGAATTATAATGAGAGATCAACATCAACGCAATCAACATCATTACCACGGACCTCTTCTTGGAAATCTTTCCACGCTATCTCTTCGACTCACCGGACAGATCAGGGAGCATGGATAGGTGTATATCCCGGCTCTGTGTGGTCCGAGCGAAGGTGGATTGCCGCCTCTCATTCTGCGATCTTCCCCTTTTAACTGTTGTCGCTGTGGAGAAACATAATAATATGTAACATAATGTAACATATAATATATGCTACATGCTAAAGCCGTGATAGCTGACTGTCCGGGCACTCGCTTTCAATTTAATGTACCAGGATATCTAGCAACTTGATTTCGATCCGAAATGAAATTGTTAATTTTAAATGTTAATTTAAAATTAACAAATATAAGTATTTTATACATATAATTATAGTATCGTGATACTTTCGACTGCATATTTTCGAAACAATAACAAAATAAAATATTTGGAAGACATGTGAAGTCTGCCAATGCATTGGTGTCGCGTGGTGGACTGTCCGAGTCCCTGCTGTACAGAGGAAGCCTATGGCCCGGTAGAGGAACATGTGTACGCTGTTACTTACTAAAGGCATTTGCTTTTATTAAAGGCGCTGCTCATACGATAATGAATAACGTCCTTTAGACAACGACCCATGACGGCAATTTTTAGATAATTATGTGCTTTCTTCACTTGTGCTTTATTATACATAATATTTTGAATATTTATTAAATGGTTTAATAAAACGCAGCAACAAGTTTTGACAGACTAAACAAAAAAAAATATTAAATCAGATTACATATGTCCAGATAAGATGGCGCCACGGCAACATTTCAATATTTATATACTAATATGGTTTTAGTTGAAAACTTGATACTAGACTGGACTGAAATCAAAATGTTGACTTTCTTTTAGTGGCGTGTTATATTCAAGTGACAAGTTACCGTCTGGCCATTATACTTACTGTTTCTCGCCTGCTTCGACGGCAGGAGGGTCGCTAGCTTGGTGGCGTCGGCTCTCTGGAGGTTCTCGAAGAGTTCTTGTTCGCCCCCCGGGTAAAGTTCCTTTAGACAAATACAACCCGGTCACAGAAACCTTCGCTCCAAAGGAGAGGTTGTCCGACGCATCGCAAAGTGTGGCTTGTTCCCAAATAAGCTTTTAAACGCGGTGAATTTGCTATATTTTAAACAATCTGAGGACTCTGTGCCAAGTTGCCAAGGTATTCTTCAAAGTATTCGGAAGGCTTCGGCGTCGGGGGTCGTGGGTTCGATTCCCACATGGGACAGCTATTTGTGTGACCCACAAATAATTGTTTCGCATCTGGATGTTTGTCCGCGTGAAATTTATGTTTGTAAAACGTCCTTACAACACAGGATAATGTTATCCTAAGGTAAGGGCAATTTTTTAATCAAAATAAAAAAAATCTCTTTTTTAGGATAGGGTCCTTCAAGGGTTCAGTATGAATTGTTGATAAATAATGCATCACGGCCAAATTCGTGAGGTGTATAGTTTGGTTCAATCTTGAATACATTACTTACGATATGGTTGTCCAGCGTTGTAGTGATTTTACAGTTAACTACAACGAGCAACGCTATAGTTAACACAGACAAACGACCGCTTTGAATGTCCCTGGACGACGGTTATCACTTAACATCAGGTGGCTTTGCACCTCTTCCCTAAAATTATGGCGGTGTGAAACTTTTGGTGCGCTTTGAAATGACCAGAATACGAAATCATCTCGACGGGTTGACGATTTACAACGATGCTCGTCTAGCAAATTGATTTATCGATCGACAGGTAATTGCGTTTTTAAAATTCTTACATCGAATGCAGTAGAAATAGTGCTATCCACGATCACGATAGGCTAACTTGTTTTATGTGAAAAGTTGGCAAGCGAGCAGGCGGTTCACCATATGTAAAGCGATTAATGCCGCCCATATACACCTTATAACACCGCAGGTGTGTTGCCAACTTTTAAAAACAGTGGACGTCGGTAACCTTACACACTGGGCAAAACGCAAAAGTATAATATCAATACTTCCACGCTCGTCTCCTGTGAGGTACCTCCCTGGTCTGACCTGCCCATTCGATCTGCAGGAGATATTGCGTAGTTCTCTTCAAACGGATCACCAAAAATTTGCCAACATACAAATTAACTGTGGTAGGGCCACGCAGCAGCCTCGGCTGTTGCACGAATGGGCAGGCTCGTTCGGGTAAGTACCACGACCTCACGGAAGACCGGCGTAAAGTGGAAGCATGACAAATACTTTCGCGTTCCATCTGGTGAGTGAGGTAGCCGGAGCCCAATTTTCAAAAGGTTGTCAACGCATCTGTAACCCTCGGGTGTAGCAGATGTCTGTGGGCGGCGGTATTCACTTAACATCAGGTGAACCACCTGCTCGCTTGGCAACTTTTCATATAAAAAAAAGATACAAAAACTGTTTTGGGATGGCGCACCTGATAGAATTCTCCACCGGCTTCCTCCCAACCCTCCTGGCGTTTGGAAGAGCGGACCTTGCTCTTCGACGCGTTGCCGCCCGACATCTTCTCACGTGTGCCTCGTCATCTGTTGTGAGCATACATTAACATCAACGTGTACGGACAATTGTTGATTCTGATAGCGAGGAAAACGCTCGTCTTAAATACCAAAACTTCAATTCAACCAAAACGATATTATAGGCAGCAATATAAGGTAAGGTGAAACTTTTCCGTGTTTCCTTGGAAATAATGAAAGAAATGAAGTAACTTAGGATTCAGCGCAATACGTGACGATGTTGGGCCATCGTTACATGAACATAATAAAACAACAATAAGGTGGGGCAACATGTCAACGTGGCTTTACCTTTACTCAAAAACTGTTTTCGAACGAACAAATTTTTCACCGAGGTCCTATCCCAACCATCTTCCAAAATTTGCTGGTAACAAGACAGGCACAAAGATGTAGTTTTAAAAAAAAAAGTTAAATATTAATAACAATATTAATCAATAGTTTCAGCAATACACGCTAGATTTTCTTAAGATTACGGGCAAAAAATCATTTCTAGTTTTAATTTTTGAATAGAATTTCGAATGTGCAAAATATTTTAGTACAACCTGCTGTATACAGTGGTTAAATTTGTTCGGTGGACTGTTTGTTGGAATGTGAAAATCAAAGCTAAATTATTTTTACAGCAATTTTTAGTTAGAAGTTGAACATAATATGTATACGTAAGAGAAAACTGATTGCCAGTTTTTAGAATTAGGAATACTTTTGCATATGCCCATAATAGTAGCAATTGCTACATACAAATAGTAATATACAACCGTAATACGAATTTCTTTTTCTGGAGAAAGAGAGACTGGAGGGCTAGCAATTGCGTTGCCTACCTGTCGTTGAATTTCATTAAATCGTCCAAAATTACCGTGTAATTTTTGCGACTTTGACAGAAAGGGCAGATTTTATTTACACGCGAAAGGATCCCGTTGTCTGTCTGTCCCTATGTACGCTTAGATCTTTAAAACTACGCAAAGGATCTTGATGCGGTTTTTTTTACTAGATAGAGTGATTCAAGAGGACGGTTTATATGGATGTATCATCATAAATACCCGCTCCGGCTTTGCACCCGTGCAAAGCCGGAGCGGGTATTTAATAGACATATAAAACCATTAAAACAGCGGTCGAAGCACAGACGTGAGCTAAAAATATGGGGGTCGATATAATGTGGCACTTGGAACTGTTTTGAATAAAACATGACTGTACTATTTATGGTGAACCACAATGCGAAACGTAGCCGCTAAGACCACAGATTATGCAGTGCACAGTTATGGTAGAAGACATTACCGCCCAACAGGTGAGAATTTATTTAAAAATTTTAATTTGATTTGATCTTGATAACCGAAGATTTGCTCTTTCAGCAGATTTTATACTTATTAATGATGTATTAATTTGATTTCATATTTTTTTTTATTCATTACACCTATATTTGTAAATAGTATCCTAATTTATACCAGATTTAGTTAAAATTAAAGTTTAGCGTGGCATTGTCAAACCAAGATGAATATTTCGACTTTCAAAACGAAGCTCTTATTTATCAACTCAATGATTAGTTACAGTTTAGAATTGTTTAAAGCTACAGTTTATGATTGAACAAAAACAAATATATATTTAAATTTTAATAAAATTAAATGGCAAATATGTGTCAACTTTCACTCAAGTATAGTTCGTATTTATTCATTACTGCGTTTTGCATATACTAACATAATATTTATTGTTATTAGTTAGCTCATTGTTTTATTCTATTAAATTATGTTTATATGTCATTCAAATGAACATGTACCGATAAAGATATTAAAAAATATGAGGATTTTCTTGTTGCTGAAAATACAAAAGTCGGCAGCTTGATCTAGGACTTAAATTCTTTAAAATACTAAATATCTTTTTTCTGGATAAGGTTAGGGTATGTTTTATTAAATAAAAAGATCCTGTCACAATTGCTTGGGAAAATTTTCAGGTCTGGAACAAGAAATTTGAACATTTTCTCACGACATGCAACACCATAAATTATAAAATAAATACTATAGTTATGGCCCCTTTAGACCCTTTAGAGCGAGGTGCTGACCAACCAGATCCGGAACAAATATCTGTGGGGTACACAAATAGTTGTCCGGTGTGGTAATCGAACCCAAGGCCTCGAGGCCAATAGCTGAGCATTAAGCTTTGGGATGTAGACAGACTGTGACTGCGTATATCTTATCCTTTAAACGAGCAATTCTTGTATATATATATGTTAAGTTTTGGCCACCATTGCTGAACAGCAGTGTACGATGTGACATTGTAGTAATATTACGCACACAAAATTATAAAAGAACTTGATCACTGTTATAATTTTTACTTTAAAATACACTCACACCCTATGAAGACTCCGAACAGAATGATGTAGCTTGAAGCAGATATCGGCTTTTATACTATAAAACACGTCACTTGATCTAATCAAAACAACAACCAAATCAACGGCAATTAATCTTCAACAATTATCAAGATTTAGATGAGATTAGTTACTTCGTAATATAATGTAACTTACATTTACAATACATCAAAATTATAAATACACCGAGATCACAAATTACAATAATCACTAGTAATTAGCAAATTATTCCATTAATTTTTATTTAATTTTATTTTATTGGGGATAACAAACAGCTACAATATATGATATGAACAGATCTGTTGCGTTGATGTAGTAATAATATTACAGCCCACTACATTATCCACGTATTAAACATACAATATTATTTTAATGGAAGCTACTAGATAAGTTACAAAAATAAAAATAAAAAAAACAATAACAAATAGCACAAAGATAAAAAAAAGGAACACTTCAAGAATACTAAAATACAAAAATACATAATTATTAAAAATTTATACATAATTATTAATATTTGGTTCTTATACTTAGATTTAGAGCATTCAAATATATCAATATCAACAAAATTGGAGTTATATGATTTAAGCATACGTTGTATAGGACATCGTAGTCCTGAGTTTGTTCGGCAAGTATTGATGGCAAAGAGAGTGCCCGTGCGAACTTTTCGTTTATGGGTAGTACGAGGAACTACATAGCAAATCTTATTTGTTAAATCAATGCAATCAAAATTGTTGTGCACAATACAATATAACACATTAGCTTCACGTGTACGTCTTGCCTCAAGTGATAGCAATTTATAGTTGTTTAATAATTGTGAATATGATAAATTGGATTTCATACATTTATACTGCATGGAGCGAAGAAACTTTCGTTGGACCTTCTCAATCTCATTTACATATTTGTAGTAAAAAGGATTCCAAATTGGTTATAACATTATATTCAAGTTGGGAGCGTATAAGAGTTTTAAAGAGATAAAGGTATGTTGTTTGTGGCCTCTTAAACTCCGTCGATGATCTCATTACAAAACCGTACATTTTATATGCTTTATTAATAATAGACTCGATATGCTGGTTACGTGAAAGTTTACTGTCAATCAAAATTCCTAAATCTCTAACAACAGAAATATTCTTCAAAACAGTGTTACAAAGGTGATAATTAAATTTAATAATATTTCTATTCTTGGTAAAATGAATGTGGTTGCATTTAGGGATACTAAGTTGAAGTTTGTTTTCCTTGCAATAAGTTGTGAATCTGTTAAAATCTTCCTGGAACATCTCGCAGTCTTTCTCAGAATTAACAGGTTTATATACTTTCAAATCTTCCGCGTATAAGAGAAAGTTTGTGTTTTTAAAACAGATTTTAATGTCATTTATATATAATATAAAAAGAAGTGGGCCCAGTATCGACCCCTGGGGAACACCAGAAGATAAACGAACGATGTCAGATTGATAGCCATTTATTACAACTTTTTGTGTGCGGTTTGTAATGTACGATGCAAACCATCGAAGTAAGTTACCCCTTATGCCATTAAAAGAAATTTTATTTAGCAGTATAACGTGATCCACCTTGTCGAATGCCTTTTTAAAATCTGTATAAATAGCGTCCACTTGCACACGTTTGTCAATATTTTCAAAGAGGTCATTAGTGAAAATTAATAGATTAGTGGCAGTGGATCGCCATTTAACAAATCCGTTTTGTTCTGAGATAATTATACTGTGCAGCACTGGATATATTTCGTTATGTACAAGTTTTTCAAAGAGTTTTGACAAAGTTGACAAAATTGATATAGGGCGATATTGCTCAATATCCTGCTTTGAGCCACTTTTGTGGATGGGTGTTATATTAGCCATCTTCCACTTCGCAGGAAACACACCTTCATTTAAGCTTTTATTAAATATTATATAGAGCGGTTTACAGATATTGGGGGCAGTTGAATTAAAAAACAATGCAGAAAAGCCGTCTGGGCCCGCACCTTTGCTAGGGTCAAGTTTTTTAATTCACTTAGTATTTTATACTCGCTAATATGAAGATCACTGATCATTACATTGTTATCAACACGGGTTGAAGGCGGTTTCCAGTCTGGCGGGGAAGAAGATTGCGGTTCAAAAACTGACATGAAATAATCCGAGAACATTCCACATATGGTCTCAGGATCGCTAGACTTATGATCTCTGTATTGCATTAAAGCTGGGATACCAGACCTACTCTTACGATTTGAAATATATGACCAGAAGCATTTTATATTGGATGTGAGATTGTCTTCAACAGACTCAATGTAAGAGCAGTAACAGCTGTTACACATGTTCTTAAATTTTTTCCTCATCTCGGAAAACTTGTCATAATAAGTTTTGTTACGGGTTTTTTTCCATTTGATCCAAAAGCGCTGTTTTTTTTTTTAAAGTAATAATCAATTGTTGAGAGAACCAATTAGGGAAGTCTTTCGAACGAGGTTTAGAAAGAGGGACGTGTGGTTTGATTATTTGACTTAACATACTGTAAAATTTATCCAGTGCATCTTCGCATCGAAGCGGGTCCAGGGCAAGAGCCCAGTCGGTTTCTTCGATGTGTTTATTGATAAGGTTGAAATTTGCCTTACGAAAATTATATTTAGGCAAAGTATGTCTTTTTAGGCCTTGCATC